TCTTGCGAGATCACACCAACCGTGTTTGTGGTGTGGCCGCCACCGTGTACCAGAGGGAACAAGGCCCGCAGCGTTTCGACTGTAAGCTTGATAGTGAAGACGGCGGGGAGCATCCGAGAGAGGCTTGCCGGAAGGCACGTCGGAGACCCACTTGCGCGTAGGGAAGGCCCGAGGCTATCCACGGAGTTACCTGACCAGGAGCTTGGCCCTTGCAAGGGATTCCTTGCGAGGGGCTCCAACGAGGACTAGGGAGAAGCTTACGCGCTTCTCGATACCTCGGTAAAAATACCAGAGTCGTCGACGGGAGTTTGCATATCTCTACCTTGCTCTTTAGCTTCCGCATTTACATTGTTTGTATTACTACTTTTGCGGTAGAGATAGCAACACACTAGCAAAACCGTAGTCACACATTTAGATAGTTTATCTTTTGCATAGGTTTTACTAAGAGTAGAAAAAGAGGCCATAGTTTAGAGTTAGATTTTTTAAGTTGCCTAATTCACCCCCTCCCCTCTTAGGCGTCACGGTCCCTTCACTCAGCTCTAGCTTCTCCTTGCAGATTCTTCCCTCCTCTCTCTCCCCGTCGGTCTCTCCCTCTCCATCCCGTCGTGAGCAGGGGCGACAGGCGTGAGTCGGGCGCGGCGGCGACTGTGGCTGTCCTCCTCCTCCTCCGCCGCCACCCTCCCTCACTTGCCTCTCACCTCCGTTTCTCCCTCCCCTTCCTCTCTGTCCCCTTCCCTCCCGATGCTACGGCAGGCGCGAGGCGGCGGCAGGTGCCAGGCGACGGCGCCCCTGCGGGCGATGCGCCATTGTGGGAGGGGCTCGGTGGCCCCCTCCCTCCCCCCATCCTCATTGCGGCCGCCTCAACGCGTCCTCCCGCTGGGGAGCTTGTGCTCCTTTGCTCGACGAAACCCTAGGTGCCTGTGCGGCGGTGGCAACGATGGTGAAGCTCGGCGACTGGATTTGACGGTGACTCACCCTCTTCTTCTCCTCCTTCGTCCCATGGCTCCTCCCCTAGATCCTCTCTCCCTCGTGTTTTTTTGGAGCGACAGATCCTTACAATAATTTCTATGGCAATTGAGAATAGTAGATTCTAAAGCTTTTGCTGATTTTATTCCCTTTAGTATTTTATTTGCTTTTACCTAAATTAAAATCTACTGGTTGGTTCAAAATAATACATCTAGGTTAGTAAAAATGGTTACATGCACAATCTTGATATATTACTGTGCATTGATTTGTCATCTCCTCGTAGTGGATTGTGTCCATTCATTGAAAGAGCAGGAAGGCCAGTGACCTTTTTATGCCATTTTTTCCCTTGTGTGATTTACGATACTGATTGGTTAGTGCATATGTCCATGTCCTCCTTCCAGGAGATTCCTGTTTAACTCAAACCAATGAGTTTCCAGAAAGAATGATGCTCTATTTTTAATGTCATGCCAGTTTTATCTCTATCTACACTGATGGACTCCATTTTCTTTTTTTCCTGATGTTTCCTGATGTGCATACCATTTTTGATCTAGACATTTTTACTAAGTGTAGTTACCTAATGCTTAAATCTAGATGAGTTCTTGGTTCTCACATTGGTATTACTAGCTACTTCTGCAATTGTTATTTAGCCTGGTTCAGTAGGACCATGTCACATAGAAGAAAGAAGAAGAAACCATATGCCTCAATTCATTTTAACTGATTTTCAGGTGAGCGGGCCTAAATCTTGGAATGTTCAAATTGCAATGTCTGTAAAGCTTAGGTTGCCATGTTTTTCTAAGGACATACAAGCATGGCTCTTACATGCATTTGATATATGTAGGTTGGTGTCCCCCACCCCCCAGCATGAACTGGTGCAGGTGCTCCGCGCAGAACTGCTAATCGTCGTTTCATCGGCTCACAGGTTCGCTTCCTCTCTCGCTCCCCCTTTCTCCTTACCTCTCTTTGTCGGACCTGCCTCTCCCAATGCTCTCAGTCCTCATGGAAGCGGTCTTCCTGACACCTTTGTGCTTTTCCTTTTTTTTCTTTGATTATCTTCAATTTGATATACGATTATAGTTGCTCACGGTTTATTGATATACGATATGGCTCACGGTTTTTTGTAAATTCGATATACGATTATAGTTGCTCTTAATGTTAAAAAAAGGTCTGCGGCATTTTCATATCGTCTTGCCAAAAACGTGTCTGCTTAAATCTCTTAGGTATTTTTTTTGTTCGGTTTTACGGTAACTGCTGAACAAATTTCTTATTGCATCTTGATTAGCCTTCCTAGTCAATTCTCATACACATCAGGTTAAGATTTGCGAATTTGGGACTGCTAGCAGATTGGTACACTTCTCTCTTTTAGTTTATTCCTGAATATGTTTATGGGTTTAATAAAGTGAAATATCCATTTCAATTCCATGGCGAGCCTAACATATCTTACATTTGCTCACGGTATTATAGGGCGGCTAAACTAATATTTGGAGCTACGGAGTATTACTGCTGCGATTGATATCTGCTCTGTTGGTTGTGTATTGGCTGACCTTCTAATTGGTCTGGTGACGTTGCCTTCAAGACCTTATGCATCGAAATAAAATAATGTAGTTTCAGACTATCTGAATTGGTGGCCTCTGAACAAAATGGTGGAAATCAAGGTACGTAACTTAGCGGTGCCACTTCTAGCTGTACCTTAACCTTATGCAGCAAAATAAAATGATTTCAGGTTATCTAAATTGGTGGCTTCTGGACAAAATGGCGCTCTACAATTATGGCGGCGGCTTATGCCTTGACCCAATAGAAAATCACACGCTAACGGCCTCTTCCTCTTTGGAGGTATGCTAATTTTTAAACTGTTCCTCCGTTTATCCTTTCTTTACTATCCTAAATGTGATTGAAGGTATGCTTGCAAAATATTTATGGCATGGGAAAATAATATTTAAATCTAATATAGCTTTGGTTTTCCCTCTCAGTGCCGCTTCATTGAGGGCACCTTGAGAAAGTTTATGTCTCGGGATGATTAGTATAGCTGTAGCCTACCTTATTTGTGGAAGACGGAAAAATCTAGATTTTAACATCCCAACAACTTCAAGGTATAAACGCCGTTACCTGCACGGTTTGATTTCCGTTGGACTAGTAGACACATGAATCATAGGAAATTGGAGCTTTTGATGAAGAGCTAACTTATCATTTTTCTCCTTCTTACTCAATAAAATATTGTATTAGGTAGCTCTTTCTCCCTCTCACACGCTATCTCATGCGGAAGCATATTATTTATACCTAGTGGGACATAGCTTAATACTTCCCACAGACGTAGCCATTGCGAAATTTATATTAGCTATTGCTACCAGCAGGTACAGGGTCCCAAGTTTACTGCCCATTGAGCCACAAGCATTGCCCTTCCCCTTAGGCCTTCTTTGGCACATCTTGTATCGATTTTCAGCATGGCAGCAGAAACTTCCATGTGAGCCGGTGAAGCTACCTTGGAGTGAATAATGCCGACGTCATAGAAGCTAAAGGCTACTGTGAGTTATGCCAAAGAGGACCTTAGTTTAGCTTATGCGTAGAGCTCACCTCACTTAAAGTGTTCTTGGGCCACTCGTTGGACGAACATATGTGTACTACATTTGACTTGTGTCCACAAAAAAACGTAATTTTAGATACATTCTTGTTAAAGTTTCTAAAGATTGATCAAATATATAGGTAAAATATATTAATATTTATGATACCAAATGAGTATATTATGAAAATATATGGCGCGAGAAGTTTAACAATACTTATTTGATTTTAATTAGATATTATACTAGAATTATTTTATTTTCTTGAAACACACGTCATGTCAGGAATCCAACAGGCAGCACCTATCTGGTCCCTAGCTGCAGGCACGCACAGACGCACGCACTCCATCCGCGATGTGCTGTGAGTGCCCACGTGACGTGACGCCACCTGTCCTGAAAATGGACATGCTTGCTTGCCCTTATTTAGATTGGGGTTAGGAATCAGTATTTGGCACTGTAGCACTTTTGTTTGTATTTGATAATTATTGTCCAATCATGGCTTAACTAGGCTCAAAAGATTCGTCTCGTAATTTACAATCAAACTGTGTAATTAGTTATTTTTTTATCTACATTTAATACTCCATACATGTGTTCAAAGATTTGATGTGATGGAGAGAGAGTGAAAAAACTTGCAATCTAAGCAAGGCCCGATCCAGGAAAAGTTAGCGCAACACAGGAGTATCTGTGTAGCTGAAAGATGACGGGCAAGTATATCCAGTTCAGCATTTCCCACGTACAGATGCTGCCATATCTACTTGAAGCAACAAGAGCAAGAAGTGATGAATGAGCTCAAGCCTTGATCTGAGCTGGTTTAACTGCACTGTCAGGTTAATATAAAACCGATAAATCCAAAATTTCAGTTTTATGATAGGGCCCGATACAAAACCGATATCGGCTAAAAATTTCATTGATTTGAGTTCAGCACGCTAGAATTCTATCCCACAAGCTCCTGTCAGTCCAAAACCGAGTAGGTAAAATTCTATTCTATTTTTCCAACCTTCATCATCCCAGCAGCCGCATTTTCAGGGCTCGTCTCCTGGCCCCGCATGCCCTGAAAGTGTTATATCATCTCATTTCCATACTATTTTGTGTTGTTGTTTTTTTGGACTCAAATCGTTTCGAGATATTCTATATAATTTTCTACACAAATTAAGGCTTTTCTTTTAAATGTTGGGTGAATTTTTTCTATCACCAAAGATTTTCGATATTTCCGATATTTTCAGTTCTCAGTTGCCATCAATATTTTTCAAATATAGATAATTAATGTAAATATATGCACACACACAAACACACACACAATGCATGCAATGCACGTCGATCATGCATGCCAGCAGACAAGCAAAGCAACTAGCTCGTACAGGAGTGCAGGAGCAGGACTGACAGAAGGGTAGCCACCATACAATGCACCGATGGAAGGTTGGGCCTTGGGCGAGCATTGAGCAACGCTCGCTCGGTCGCTCGTCGCCATCGTCGAGCCGACGGTTACAGCCTCAGCTCGAGGTCGGGCTCCTCTTCGGTCGTCGCCTTGCTGGGTGCCTCCACGCGCGCCAGCATACCCCTGGTCCAGTTGATCACGTCGACATCGATCATCAGGCCGTCGCCGCACTCATGGTCCACGCCGCCGCGCACGGTCGCCGGCGCATGGCCGGTCCACATCTCAAGCTCCAAGCGAGGTGTCGTCGCCGCGGGGGCAGCGGAACTGTAGTACGCCTCCCCAGCTCTGGCGCCACGCGCGACGACGTCTGTCCCAGCGCAGTGCTGGGCGCCTGCCACTAGCGTGGACGTGGGGGGAAGAGCAACCGCGCCGCCGCCGGCCGCGCACGCCACCTCGAGCTCGAGCATGGCGGCGTAGGAGGTGCCGTAGGGGTTCCAGCGCCCGGCGGCGACGCGCTCTTTCTTGTGCGCGTTCTGGTGGCCCCCGAGCGCCTGCGACTTGACGAACGTCTTGCTGCAGAAGAGGCACGGGAACCGCCGCGCGCCGTTGCCGCCGTCCACGAGGCCGCCGCTCGAGTCGACGGCGGAGGAATTAGGTGGAAGTGGTGGAACACCATGAGAGGACTCCATGCAGCTGGTCCCGCGTCAGAGATTAGCTGCTGCTTTTATTATGGACTACCAGTAGTGTGCCAAGGCGGAAATGCTAATGTTTCTGCAAATGGAGATGGTGGGGTTTCCTATATATAGATTTGGATGGAATAGCAGATAAATCTTGCTAGCATCAATTACATACCAAATTTAAATGGACCAAGAGAGGGAAGGACAGTGCGGTTGGACAGATGGTAAGCCACTTTACTATTTATATAGGAGGGAAAGGCCACACTCACAGCGAGACACTCCAAAAGACGGTGTCCTCCTTCTTAGTAGTATCTCCATAAAAAAACATCTGCTAGCATCAATTATTAGCGTCCATGGGTATAATGATGATATATAAGGAATCTGATTCCAATACATATTAAAAATAGATAACACAAATATTATATAACTTTGAACTATAAGTCATTAAGGTGACTACGCGATAAGGTGTACTCCCTCCGTCCCACGATAAATAAGTTTCGATAAATTTTCAGATAGATTAAGGATGTTGGCAAAAGACGCAAGCACCTTCGTCTACTTTATTTCCTTTCCCGAACGATAAATTTGATAGTTATCGTTTGCATGCATCCATAATTATCTTCCGTATTAGGAGGCAGTGTTCCATGTTTTTGTACAATGTTATTTGTTTCGAAACAAATTGTAAACTTTAGAAAGTTATTCATTTTGGGACAGAGAGAGTATGTTCCATTACAAGCTTATTGCTACCTGCTTTTAAAAATTACTAGCAGTGATGATTAATTATCAATGCTAGGTGGCAATACAATCCAGTAGTGGTACCGTCACTGCCAGTTCGTAGTATTAACCGGCAGTTATTCCTGTCCCAGACCCAAAAATTTGTTTCCACATGCTCAAGTCCGCAGTCTACGTCTGAGCCACCCCCCACCCCACTTTATATTCTTTCTCCCTCTCACAGTCGACCTCCGTCCACTACTATAGAATGGACTTGTTGTCCCGGACGGTAATGGCCTTTAGTCTCGGTTACCACGTCGGGACAACGATCCCGGGACTAAAGGTGGCACCTTTAGTCCCGGGTCATCGAGCCGGGACTAAAGAGGGGCCTTTAGTCTCGGTTGTTGTTACCAACCGGGACTAAAGGCTCTCCAGCTGAGCAAACGTGGCCGCACCCTTTAGTCCCGGTTGGTAACCCCAACTGGGACTAAAGGTTCCTTTTCTTTTTCTTTTTTTTTGTTTAATTTGTTTTCAGTTCAGTTACACGTATTTGTTTAATATATAATATATTTTTATGTACGTATTCCACGCTGCTAATATAAATACACGCATACATATAATTACATCTAATTCTCATCTCGAGCATTATTATATTCGAATAAAGTATGAACCTATATATATTATAGATATATATATGTATATATACAACACTTTCATAATCTTGTTCTCAAAAATAACGATATTAATAAACATTTAATTTACACCATTTATTCCTTAGGATCAAAGTAGAACTCGCCGTTGGGATTTAGCACTTTTTCTAGAAGAAATCCTGCTATTGACTCTTGAACTGCTTTCAGATGGTTTTTTTGCATGACCCTTTGTTTCAACTATTCAGTCTTGCATTTGAAATAAAAGGAAAAGTATTAATACATACATACATATATATATATTCATTTAAAAATAAATAAAAAATTGATATATACGTACTCTGAGGACATCTTTAGGAGTTCTTCTTATGTGCGCAGTGATAAATTCACAAACGTAGTATCCACACAAGTTATTACCTGGTTGCTGCCGCAAACACTACTGTACGAGAAGAAGATTATTCTCATCATCTCACACGTAAATTGAAATACGATATAGTAATTAAACACGTGGGAAAGTATATATAGTACAACTTACTGGTATTTTAACTACATTAAGTGGTGCCTTACCATCCTTGCGGTGTTGCCGAATAAACTCTTTCCAAACCCTGTGTGACCAATCATGTACGATTGTTAATAAATTATGACAAAGTCTATTCAATAATAGTTGTGCACGAGAGATTGAAATTACCCCTGGATAATGTCTATCATATATTGGTATAGTGCCCGCTCTTTTCTCTTCGAGTCCAAGATTACTAACCGACTTGAGTTTAACTCAATGACAATGAGTATCCAGTGAAACCTACATTGGTTTATACACACACGTACATGCATATAAGTTGTATTGATATTACATAAAATGTGTAGACTACATTATTATTAACACTTACTTAAAGCTGTACGGGAAAAGTATTGTTGTCTTGTCATGCTGCTTCATGAAGAACCTCATGATATTTTTCTGTGCTTCAGATACCCACTACTCCTTGGGAATAATACCGGTTTTGAATACGATATAAGGATCAATGAAGCCAACACTAGTGTCTTGTATTATTTAGAGCTCTGACATCTGGAATCTGTATATAAATATAAGTTACATGTGAGGATAATTATATACACGTACGCATGGAAGTGAGTTTATTAAATAAAAGTAAGAATCACTTACAAACAAAAGGAGCTAATGATTGATTTGTCCAGAGCGTCCATGTGGCATAGTTGATGCAATTCTTCGAAACTAATATGTAAGATGTCATCGCCATGAAAGTAATGATGGTCTCTAAATCTGACAAAGATCCACTCCTCACCCCTGCCACACGCCTGCATGTACCACTTATTGAGCAAGTACATTTGCGTACCCAATTCATTCAGAGCCGTAGGGTTGTACAGACTTTTGTCATATTTATAAGTCTTCCAGGTATCAACTTTCAAGTTCTGAATTGGAGCTTTGCCCATCAATTGATCCAAGGTTAAACCAGTATCTTCAAAAAAAGGATTAAGGGCTTGAACCGACACTTCTCCAGAGTTGTCTGGTCGATAGACTTCTATGTTGGAACCATATTCATTAGCAACAACAAGATTTTGCATTGGTTGCTTCTGTTGTCCGAGCTATGGGACATCCTTCCCTGATGCTCTTTTCCTTTTCTTATTTGCATCATGTGACTCCACGAGGGAGCGGTCATAGTCTGATAGTGGCGAAGGCTTACGAAGTTCAATCATCTTTTTCTTGTGAGCATCGACCTTCTGCCTCAGCACATCTCGTGGTATGTAAAAGTACGGCTTCTCCTTAAGCTTCGCTTGACTCTTGTTTTTGATATCTATAAAAAAAATCTTTCACTTTTTTATCTTTTTCAGCTGCTATTTGCTCATCAGTCTTTTCAGAAAGTATTTCTTGAGAAAGAACTCTTTTTCTCGGGGTCTTCTTTGCCGCCGGGACCTTAGACGTCTTTGTAGTGCGTCATTGTGGAGGGGGGGGGCGGTGTTGGAGACCGTGGGAGGAGGCAATGAGGGCGGTGTTGGTGGAGACCGGCGTGGAGGCGTTGGAGATCGTTGTGGGAGGCGGTGGGGCGGTGTAGGAGTTGGAGATCGTTGGAGGGAGGCGATGGGGCGGTGTAGGAGTTGGCGATCGCCGTGGGGATGAAGTCGTCTCGCCCCATGACGTCTTTGTGATGAGATGGGGAATGAATGATTAGGCTAGGGCTGGGGAGACCTGCTACAAAAACAAGTTGTGTGTCAATTATTTTTGAAGCCAATAGAAAATTAATGGAAAATAATATTTCATTCACTTTCATTCGTACCTAGGGTGAGGTAGGGTAAGCGGTGGCGCCCCAGGAATGATGATGAAGCGTTTGCGCCATTGAATAAATGTCTTCTCCGCTTCTCCTAGTGTCTTCTCCCCATCATCGCCTTCAATGTCAAGAGGAACATTGCTGTAACCTTTGAGCACTCTATCGACTGAGACGCTAGCATATCCAAAGTTGAATAAGCGACCCATGGATTCTTGGTGTCTTTGTTCGGTCTATTGGAGATACAACCCGGCGTACCACCATGATTGATGCATTATTACCATCTGGAATGTGCAGCTCACATGTTGTTAGAGGCTCGGTAATGTCATCAACAGGGAAGCGCAACCCAGCGTCGTCTTGAATAACTGGCAGCTCCGTAGAAGCACAACTGCTTTTCATCTGACCAACGGGGCTAATGGTGACTCCCGGTGTTGATTGTGATTGCATTTGACTCATTGCTAGCTGCACTTGCCTCTTGATCTCCTCCTGCATTCTTGCCTCAAGAGATTTTTCTCGTTCACGTGATTTAAGCAATGCTTGTCGTGACTCATCAACAAATTGCTCCAATGTATGGATTCGTTCTGCCTCCTCATCCTTCTTTCTCTGGTGGCTTCTGTAGGTATCCTTGTCTACTGGGAATGCGTATAGCCACGGAACCGCCTCATAGCCTCTTGTTCGACCACCGTGTTTGGGATTCTCTAGGGCATATGTCAATTCATCCTTCTCTCTGTTGGGCTTGAAAACACCACTATCAGCTTCTTCCCTAGCACGAGCTAGTCTCTGTGTTGCTCTCTCAATTTTTTGGCCGAAAATTAGCTTGCCAGTGTTTGGGTCTAGGCTTCCCCCATGAGCGTAGAACCAATTATTCGCGCGTTGAGGCCAGTTCTTCTCTATTGTTTCAGGTATGATTCCCTTGGCAGTAATCCTTTAGTCCCGGCTGGTAAGACTAACCGGGACTAAAGGTCCAACCCTTTAGTCCCGGCTCGCCTTACAAGCCGGGACTAAAGGCTTTTTAGTTCCGGTTGGTGTTACCAGCTGGGACTAAAAAGTATTTTGGGCGGCACACCAAATTTGCCCACCCTTTAGTCTGGTTCTTGGCCTGGCGGGAATGAAAAGGCCTAAAATTTTGGCAACCCGCCAGCGTAATTGAAAAGGCCTGGGATTTTGATTTTGTTTAATACTAGGTTAATCAATTAATTCCATAGCAACTTCAATACTTTGCAATATTTATTTTAAAAAATACTATTGATTAACTAATTATTTATTGTAAATAGGAAAATTTTGTAACCTAAAGTTTTTAATTTCTTTTATGAATATAGAATATAAATGTTACTAATACTAAGTATTTTGTTAATGCAAAAATATATTTGTAACTTAAAAT